ACAAGCCCATGTGCCACCTGCTCAGCCCACTCTCCCTGTTGGACATTGTGCTCTGCCTGCCTGTCATCCTCAAGGTCCTGGCCATCTTCTGGTTTGATCTCAGGTCCATCAGCTTCTCAGCCTGCTTCCTCCAGATGTTCGTCATGAATTGCTTCCTCGCCATGGAGTCCTGCACATTCGTGGTCATGGCCTGTGACCGCTATGTGGCCATCTGCCACCCACTGCGATACCCATCCATCATCACTGACCAATTTGTGGCCAAGGCTAGCGTCTTCATTGTCACCCAAAATGCCATTCTCACTGCACCTATTCCTATTCTCACTGCTCGACTCCATTATTGTGGGAAAAATGTCATTGAGAACTGCATCTGTGCCAACTTGTCTGTGTCCAGGCTCTCCTATGACAATTTCACCCTTAACAGAATCTACCAATTTGTGGCTGGTTGGACTTTACTGGGGTCAGATTTCATCCTCATCTTCCTCTCTTACACCTTCATCCTAAGAGCTGTGCTTCGGTTCAAGGCTGAGGGGGCTGCCGTCAAAGCCCTGAGCACGTGCGGCTCCCACTTCGTATCCTGTTCTTCAGCACCATCCTCACCATCCTGCTGGTTGTTGTGTTGACAAATGTGGCCGGAAACAGGATCCCCATGGACATCCTCATCTTGCTCAATGTCCTTCATCACCTCATACCTCCTGCTTTGAAACCTATTGTATATGGATTTCGAACCAAAGAGTTAAAGCAGGGGTGTCAGAAGTTATTGTGGAAGGGGCTTTGAATACATAGAAGGGCACCTCTATAGAAATGTCTATTACTATTTCCTTTGTTTCTAGTCTGGGATTTGTTATTCCAGACAGTAAAATAATGCTTGGATAGCAAATATTTCCTACCCACTTTCTGTCCCTCTAGTATCAGGAATTACTATGGATCTCTTAGTACCTGACCAAAGTTCATTTGCCTATTCAGGTACCTAAACTTAGGTACCTAATTTTGTATGTAGACATTTATATTTTTAAATCATCTAATCTTCATAATAGTTCTACAGGACAGGGATTACTGTCTCATGTTATACATTAGAAAATAAAAATTTGTGGAGAAATATTGACAAAGGTCACATTTGGTGAGTGGTGGGGCATCAATTCAAGTACAGGTTATCCGACTCCAGAGACTTTTCATGACACAGCACTCCTTTTCTCAGGTACAGTTGAAGCTCTAGCTCTGCCGTTCAGGCCATGATCTCTGTGTCATTTTTGTTTTTTCTTTTTCTTTTTCTTTTCTTTTCCTTTTTTTGTAGAGAGGGAGAGGCCAGGGAGGGGCAGAGGGAGAGGGAGAGAGAGAATCTTAAGCAGGTTCCATGCCCAGCATGGAGCCTGATGTGGGCCTTGATCTCACAACCCTGAGATCGTGACCTGAGCTGAAATCAAGAGTCGGACGCTTAACTGACAGGAGCACACAGGTACTACCCTGTGTCATTTTTCTGAACCTGCTGCTGCCAATAGGCATCTTTCTAGACCATTCCCCTTCAGATTCAGGAAGAAGTAAGCAGAGGCACATAGCTCAGAAAAGTTACCATATTTTTTTGATCATGACTGTTCAAGATTCTATTATAAAGGCATAATTTTCATAATAATACCAGTTTATGTCCAGCAGAATCCTCACACACCTTCAAACTCTTTGTGGAAAGGCCAGGACAGTGAGGACCCAAGTGGAGGTAGAAGTGGGAATGAGAAGACCAGAAGGCAAGAAATGGTAAAACTGGCGTGGTAGTATAGGGGATATCCTGCTTACTGAAGACTATGTCCCATGTGGTCTGGAGCTGCACTCAAAAACCTTAAATGAGAGGAATATAAGTATAGCATATTGTTAAAATTCTGGAAGTCACAATCTGGTAACAATGGGTGAGGAAACCTATATATTATTGTAGCTGGTAGGGAGTGATGTCATTATTTATGTGGGTATAGGGAATTTAGGGTTCAGGCTCATCAAATAACATTACTCAATGGTCAGATATAATTTTTATTTGCAAAATTCTATAGGGTGAAAGCAAGAGCCACTCTCTTAAGAGATCCTTAAACACTGATTCTGGTGAGTAGATTCCAAATTTTTAAAAGGCATTTGAGGGTGCCTGGGTGGTTCAGATGGTTAAGCGTCTGCCTTCGGCTCAGGTCATGATCCTGGGGTCCTGGGGTCGAGTCCCACATGGGGCTCCCTGCTCCTTGGGAAGCCTGCTTCTCCCTCTGCCTCTCTCTCTCTCTGTCTCTCATGAATAAAAAAAAGAAAAATTAAAAAAAAAATAAAAGGCATTTGAAATGTGGAGAGTACTAATTTCTTGTTTTCAACAAATATGATCTTCTTTGTTTTTGTAGTATTTCTTGACTGGTAAATTGCAAATATTGGATATAAAGGTATATACTATATGGCATTAGAGTATTTAAAAAAAAACTTGATGAAAGGTGGAGAGTTGGAGAGCTGCTTTATTCTTTTAAGTGTAAAGCGTATGAAAGAGTGGTTAAAAGTATCTTAGAGGAATGTCTTTAAAGAATGAGAAGAACTTGATTATTTTGGAATATAGGTGAGGTTCGGTGGGGTGAGGTCCAGAGCCTACAACCAAGAAAGAATTCTTGAGACGTCTTTGGTGCAAAACGGTGGTTTTATTAAATCTCGGGGACAGGACCCATGGGCAGAAAGAGCTGCAGCACCAGGATTTTGAGGAGTGGCTGATTATATACTCAGGTGTTGGGGGAAGTAAGGAAAAGGGAGGTTTCAAAAGAACTTTCATATGCTAAAGAGGACCTATAAGATAATGCAAAAGAGGACCTATAAGATATCAGAGGCCTTGCCATTGTCAAGTTAAGGTTGTTTTCCCCTCTAGCAAGGTATTAACATTAAGATAGTTGGGAGATTCCTGGAAGAATGTCACACATCCCACCCAGGAGTGGCCATAGAGGGGGAGGTTGCAGCAGGGTGTCAGCTTATGCTTCATCTTCAGCTAGCCTTCTGCTCCGTCATCAAGTTGGTTGTGTGGGAGGGAGAGAAAGATGACTGTATTTTCATGCTGATACTTTTGTGGATTTTGTCTTTGGTGATTCAAGGAATATTGGCATAAGGTTCTCTTCTTAAGAGTAAAGGCAGCGACTGGGTTCCCTAGAGCAAAACATAATTAACTTGGTGGCCTGGTCATGCAGCTGTCCTTGCTTAAAGGGTGAAAAAAAGATTCCTAGTTACATGGTCTTTCCTGAGATGCTCATATTAATTCTGAGTACACATCCTATTGTCTCCACACACAAGGAAGAACATTTTGATCGACTCTTCCCTTAAAAACAAATCTAAGTGCCATGCTTAATCTTTAAGGTCCTGAATTAGTCACATCTCATGTGATTTTCCATTTCTGTACACCACTGTCCTTCTTGCAGTCCTAAAATCCATTTTCTCCAAATTCCTTAGGCAAATTTTGAAGTCCCCAAATCACCCTGACCTCAGGTTCCCCTAGAGGTGCATTTCCTTTTAGTCCTAAGATACTAAGGCTTCAGCTGTAAAACAGATCTCTCCTGATTTGTGGGGAGGGTAGGGGGCTTATGTAGTCACATATCTTACCCTGAGCCCAGGGAAGAGTCAGATGTTAGATGGTGCTTTCCTCTGCTTGTCCAGCATGATTTTACCCACTGGAGAGGAGCTTTAGCTTGTCAAAATGAGCAACAAGGACTAGATTCATCCCCTCAATAAAACAACAACAAAACATTGGACAAAATATACAAAATAGTGGTTCTGAGGACACTAGACCTGAGATAATAGAGGACAATGATCCCTAAGAGATAGGAAACAAAAGAGGTGAGTCCTGTTTACTGGAGAAAGATTGTTACAACTTATTGGAGAGAGATTCCAAGCCATGTTGAAGGAAGGGTGAACTCAGGTGTAGCCTGACAGTCTTCCTGTGTTGAGAAGGACATGCGAATCAGGGAAGGCCAAGGTAGCCAGAGTTCACAGGGTAGAATATGAGAGGAGAGAGAACCGCATAGAAAGAGAATTCCAAAGATCTACAGAGGGCCCCCTAAAGTATTCAGCAGATGGGTACATGCATGTGTGGAAACAATCCAAAAATATTTGAGGAAACAAAAACAAAAACAAGACTCACTTAATTACATAGGGATCTCTGGATGGCTTTTCAGAATTGTCTAAGTTGAGAGATGTGTGTGCCACACAGACCCTTTTCTCCTCTTATCAACTAGTCTTTGGATAGGATTGCCCCAGGGAGAAAGCAAAACCTTGGAGGAGATAGCTCCTTTTTGCCAAAGGCAATGCCCCTAGAAGAACACAGCTGAATGTCCTGCCCTCATCATTGTTACTGTTCAGTGTGAAAAAGGAAGTCCTGGCCAACACAGTAAGTCAAGGAAGAAAGGAGAGTTTTAAGGATCAGAGTAGAAATGGTTAAACTATCATTATTTTTATGTGATATAATCAGTAAACATAATAAACAGGGTTTATTATTAGCCTTCTGCTCCCTCATCAAGTTGGTTGTGTGTGAGGGAGAGAAAGATGACTGTGTTTTCATGCTGATACTTTTGTGGATTTTGTCTTTGGTGATTCAAGGAATATTGGCATAAGGTTCTCTTCTTAAGAGTAAAGACAGCGACTGGGTTCCCTAGAGCCAACATAATTAGCTTGGTGTTAATGTTCAGTTAGCTGTTCAGATATAATAAACTTTAAAAAATCAATAGTTTTCTTTATACCAACAAAAATTATCTAAAAATAATAGAAATTAACATACCATTTACAGTAATAGAAAACTAATTACTATGTAGAAATTGGCATCATAATAAATACACAAGACTTTTAAGGATTCTATTTTAAAAATATGCTTAAAAGTATTTAAATGAAGACCTGATTAAATGTAGAGATAAACCATGTACATGGAAAGGACACATGAGCATTTTAAAGATGTCTGTTCTCCTCAAATTAATTCATAAAGTCAATGCGATTTCAAGGAACATTCCAGCAAAGATTTTCAGAGGACGTTTGGTGCAGTTATTCTAAAATGTAAAGTGTATATGGAAGGTAAAAGTTTCACCAAATGGAAGAGAGTTTTTAAAAAGATTTGTTTTGTTTTTAAAATTTAAAATTTGTTTTTAAAAAGATTTATTACCTTACCAGATAATAAAGCATACTACAAACTCATTGTATATCTAATGGTTGTGCCTAGTGCGACACCATGGGATATAATAAAGAGTTTATAACAGGCTCATGTATTTAAGTTAAATTGGTATGGTATAATATCATTTACATGTATATAACTTTAATATACACGTAGAAAACCATAGGTGAAAAATACACAACAGATTGCTTATATAGTTATTTCTGGTGGGTGACATTTCGCTGGACTTTAAATGCTACACAATATTATATAATTTGAATGTTAGAATGTTAGTGTATTATCAGAGGAGATTAAAAACTGCCATTGGTGGGCTGTATTCTTCAGAGTGAGAATTCAAAGGATGAGTATCGGATTGGGGAGAAAAACTATCAGTTTACGTAAGTAGAAAACAAAAGCAAGAAGTCAGTGAACTAAGGGGGACGCATTTAAAGGTCACTAGTTAGGAACTTGTGGAGAAATAGTAAAAAATAAGTGTGGGAGAAGTGGGAACTACAAAGCACCTCTTTCACTTTTTATTGGCTTGATTGTAGCATCCCTTTTGAATTTCAGTTTTGGCCATCAGTCTGTTCTGGTGCTATCTTTTCACGGCCCTGTTGTGTTCCAGGTGCGTACTTCCCAGCGCAAGTGAA